GCCAAAATCTTCATAATGGGTACCTAATAGACAAGATAGATTTTTCTTTTCTTTTTGTTGGTGTATCTTTACTCTTGTAATACTATAGAAGTCCATAAAATAATACTAACTGAAAAAGAATCTGGATAAGGGGAAATGGATGCCCTTCTTCATGTGTGTTTTCTGGTTAGCAGCGCATTTTTAAATACTCCTGTTCCTTTTTAGCAGACTTAGCCTACAATGCTAAGTTTTACTAGCTACTTGCACATGCTAGAGGGAAAGGACTCCAGTGATACCATGGGAAGAGAAATTAGAGGCCCTATCTATACAGATTGAAATTTGGTTTGGTTGTTCTACTGAATATTGTGGGCTGGATTTTCTGCTCAAGGGGCACAAAGCAAACTGAAGTCTATCAGATTCCCACAGGAGAATTCTCCCTGTGTTGGGCAAATCTCTGCTGATGTAAAGCCAGTTGATATAACCCTATACCAGCTTCCCTACCAACTCTGTGTAAGGGGGAGGACAGAGACATGTAAGTGGTGGACTGGCGATGAGGCAGACATGGAAAGGGTTAGAGTGGAGCAGAGGCCCCTATGCCTGATCCTCCACTGAGGTAAACTCCAATAGACAAGTTAGATTAGGCTCCCTAGTGCTCTGTATTCCACTGAGTGGCTGAAGATCAAGGAGCCACAACCAGCTCACTGTGAATCAGGGCCTATATGTTTTCTGAGCAGATGAGGAGGAGAAACAATGAAGCAAAACAAGGCCCCCTAACATTTTTTTTCAACCGAGGTTACCTTGAAATTGCATGAGATGGAAAAACTCAGGTACTGACCCCTTACCCATCATATGGTATTCTTGGCCAAATTCCGAGGTGAGTAATTAAATTATGCCTTCCTAAATTGTTCCTTGTAGCTGAAGTATAATGCTACTGTGGACAGATGACCCATTTCACCCCAAAACGGTTGGCCTTCAGAAGCGGCAAAGTGATCCTCTGTTTGTAATAGTGTCTGAGGATCCCTCTGGGTGAAAGGTTTAATGTAAATGTAAGATTGGTAACATCATGAATCTGCTCGTTGCCCAGTACACAGTGTTTGTGTAATTCAATTCACTAGTGGACCATCAACCAGTCTTCTCAGATCCAGCACAATGGAATATCATAAATGTAAGGTTCATGTATCATTTCAATTTAGTGTCACGTGTCATTTGAACTTTGAACCGAAATATTGAGATTGGTTTAGTCTGGATAGCTGTTCTGTCTGGAATTGGCATATTACATTTTTAAAGATCCTTGTTTTAAAAGCATACTTCTCTTTCCTGCTACATTAAGGTGTCTGTCTAATAACAGAGGTAGTATAAAGTTTTCTGCTCTTTGAGATCTGCTTGTTGTCTTGGGTAGAAAAAAATGAAATCATGTGACTAGGAATCACTCACAGAAGTAAATGGCACTCTGACAGGCCATTAGTAAATTTGAAAGGAAAGCAGATTTTTGCTACAGTATTCAGAAGAGACCTTTGCTGCCCTTTAAATTATGCATTTTTAGAGACATGAATATGGTATCATGCAATGTTGCAATAGGTTTATGGCAAAGATAAAAGCTTTTAGAAAAAAGGACTGAGACAAACAAGTGTTGTTCTACATCATGGGTCTGAGTATCCCCTGGCAACACCTACTGAGGAAAAAATCTCTCTAAACATATAGGCTTTTACTTTTCTATTTGATAGTTTCAGGTCACACAGCCCCTAAGATTCTTTCCAGATGTATAATAAGTAAAAGAATAATAAAAATACAGAAGTAACTGTAAAAAGATAAAAAAAAAATCATTTGTACTAGTAGATAGCTTTTTAAAACTACACTGCAAATCATCTCAACAATTCATCTATACATCACATTGCTGAAATTAATAATTTCAATTAACTGCTTACATTCTTTTGTTTTCTGAAAATGCTCAAATTTCTTTCAACTGTGCACAGAAATACAATATTAATAGCTTCTTCAGGAATTCACTGTTCAGATCTTTTAGATTCATGCAATCAATCACTTACCAGTTTCATAAAACTGGTGGAAAATTGACTAATCGTGTTGAAACTAGAGTAGACAATTCTGAACTGCACTGTGGCACGTTTATTGCAAATAATTGTTAGTGATCCTATAGAAAAGATTACAGTGCTGTGAAAGATATTACCCAACACAGATCAGCGTATGCAACACTATACCTTCTACTGGAAAACTTCCAGGCAAAATCAATAGTGGTTTAGATTTTCTGAAGCCAGCCAATGTGGAATTGTTAATGTCATCCATTTAGCGCAAGACATATAACAGAGGGCAGTTATATCCTCCTGACTAAGAGATGATAAAGGTAACTCAGGAGGTATAGAGATTATAGAAAATAAAGATCTAAATAACATTACACACACTGAAATATACTGAGTAGTAAAATAAATAGTAATAAACAGTAGTAAAATTGAATTATGCCAATAGTTAACATTTTTTAAAAGCTCACTCTATAACATTAATAAAATATCTAAATGGATAATATGTATATTTCTGCAATCAGATATGCACAGACCAACATTTGTGTGTTTGTGGATCAGACTGCTAAACTGTGGCCTAAATTTCCTATGAAAACAATTTAGATTGGCTGCTGGTTACTGCAGGTGAATGCAATTTGATGCTCAAAAAAGAGACATGTCAAAAGTGTAGAATAAAATTATGATAATTACAAAATATATATTATATATACAGGTCTCTGTTCTTGATATACAAGAATGGTAAAAGAATGAGACTGATGATAAACAAATAGAATATATAACTACATATTAGAGATTTTTGTTTATTTATATGACAACATCATGAAGATTTACATTCTTTTGCATTGGTAAAAGTAGCCACAAAATCTTTTATAGCACCTATCTAGTTAAACAAATAAAAAAAGAATAAAGAGAATTCACTACAGAATACAAAAGTTAGATACTTTACAGTTGCCTTTATGTATAATAGCAATAATATAATTACCCCCAAAATGATGAATGAAAGGATCAATCATGTTTTTCAAACCTAAAGGATGGGTCCTTTTAAAGAGAGTGTATTTTTCATAGTGATTCCCATTAACTGTCATTTTTAACAATTTGATGTTTTAAGCTTCCTTCCTTCCTTTAGAGGTTTCTTTTCCTTTACCTCCATTTCCTATTATTTGTTCCTTTATGCGCTTTATGTTGGTGATAACCATAATTAATAATCAGGACTACTTGCTGCTTCATTTTTCATGACAAAATCATTCAGAACAAAGAATGTTACATGTGTCTTCAAAAAAGCTCTCTTTCCCATTCTTTAACAGAAGATAATGTGTTCATGTTTTGCATTTGCCATTAAACACCGGTATCTAAAATGCTTAGTACCTGATCATTTCATATCTGAAGAACATATTTAAGTTATATTTTGTACTTTTAAATAATTGCTTTCAGATTTATTCCCATTGAGTGCTGGTGACATCCAGCAGTCAGAAATATTTTACAGATGCTATCTTCATGACATTCAACTCATGCCTCATCTCCATTATCCCTGATGGAATGTGGTATTTTTGGCTTCAGGAAGATAATCCATGACTACTATCTCCTGCCTGCAAAATAAATAAATAAATAAATAAAACATTACAATACGCCTAAACCCAGTTGTCTATGCTACTTAATAGCTATTTCAGTTGACTTTAGCTGGCAAATCCTTTATATCAAACAATTCCTTTCTTCATCCCCTTATAAATACATTTTGTTATACTTCTGGGTGATTATGAACTACTACTCAGGGATCAAACTGAAGGAAAATGCAGAGGAACAAACCACTTCAGCCACTTTTCTTCCAGCTATCTATCTAGGTGATGAACTGGCTCTCGTTGTGATAGTATCTGAGCACCTCATGATTATTAATGGATTTCATCTTCATAGCACCCATGTGAGATTAGGCAGTACTATCCTCATTTTACAAATGGAGAACTGAGCTACTGTGTAGATTAAGTGATTTGTTCAAGTTTGCTCATTCTAAATAAGATCACATGATAAGTCTTTGGCTGATCCAGGAATTGAATCCATGCCACTTGAATCCCAGTGCAGGGCCTTGTCCACTAGACCATCTGTCCTTTTAAGCCCTGCATGTGAGTACCATCACCACAAATCCTCACCACTACAACTCTCAGTAGCAGAGAAGAGTGGAGAACTGTGAACTAGCAATGCAGAGAGAGCTCACCCCTTGGCTTTGAGTGGTCCAGGATCTTGAGAACGGAGAGTGTGAGGAAAAGAAGAGAGAGAGAATGGGGAACTAGTGGATGGACAAAAAGAGAAATGTGGTAATTGCAATGAGAAGTAATACCGAGAATATGGCAGATATTGTGGGGTTGAAGAGGTCAGTGAGCAGTTTGCAGAAGGGGGTGAAATGTGTTCAGAAAGCAGAGTAATATAGGCTGAGGGCCTAATCGATCTCTCACTCCTCAATCGCCTCCTCATCCCCAAGCAAGTGAGTAGCTCCAGTGCAGTTAGTAGTAGTTATTTAGATGTTGTGAAGGAAGAAGAGGTCCAACAGAATTGAAACTATTGTTAAAAAAATTCAAAGGAAACATTTCAATTTGGATTTTGTTTAAATGTACATCTGGCATTGCATACACAGGTTAGACATTGCTTTTCAGCAGTCACAATAGAAAGCAGCATATTTGTACTAACGACAATTCAGTCTCGGAGCAACTGTCAACTAAATTAGGCCTCAGTTCAAGGAAGCGTCCCTAAGCAGTACAGCAAACATGCATAAATCCCATTGCTTAAAGTTAAGCACATACTTAAGTACTTTCTTGAACAATGATGGGCTTAAGTGCATGCTTAGGTGATTTCTTGAATCGGAGTCACAAAGAATAATAAATAAACCACTCATGCAACAATTCACTTTTCATTTTCTTTGTCTTGACAATGGATTTTCATCAGCACATGCTGTTTATATGAGGATTGGGTTTTTTATTAATGGATACTTTTCTTTTTCAGACTTGAGTCTCCAACTAGATCTTTGATAATGGAAGCTCCCAGGGGAGTACAAGTTAGTGCAGCTGCAGGAGATTTAAAGGCAACGTGTAGGAAAGAACTGCACTTGCAGTCCACGGAAGGGGAGGTAAGCTCAGTCTGCAATGAAATACTATGCAGTTCTGTCCATCAAAAAAAGTAAATAATATAAAGAAACTATTTAACTGATACTGTATGTAAGAATCAGGGGTATACGGTAAGAAATTATCTGTAGCTGCCTGAATTTAAAAATGGATTTACTCCAGCCTGGCTCATGAATTATTCTTTGTTTGCTTTCTAAAAAAACATGTGAATGGTTAAATTTTGTTCACACCATTTCTCTTAGGAAAAAGAATGTTAACAAAATACAGATGTGAGTATTTGCCCTAGAAATAGCATGGCATAGAATGCTGCTTAACATAGCAGCAGAGGACAAGTTTCCCCAAATCCATCACCAGAGTCCTGGTACAGAGGCAGGTATGAGCTAGGATTTTGCACATATACACAATTACGTTGTGTGAATGTGCACAGAGAGAGTTAAATTGAAAATTTGGACCCAATCAATGAATCTTAAATTTGGAATGATATCTTGACAAAGCCTGAGAAAGGAAGAGGTGTTATATTTTCTAACTTTCCCCAATTCAGTTTCACTGCTCTCTCTCCTTAAATTGTTGTTTCCTCTCTGAGAGATTGAAAGTTTTAGTTCAATGATATACCACACCATCCATGTGATATTTCAGTGATCAGTTCAGTATGAATAGATTTTTGGGGCGGGACTCTCCACTTGTGTGGTCATTTATACCTGTGCAAAGTGGGTATAAAATGCGACCAGAGCAAAATGAGAATCAGATCCTTGGTTTTGTTGCAACTCAGTTAATGTGTGATAGTGGTGACTGGAAGATTACTGGAATGAGAAGGAATCTTTTAATTTTCTTACCTAAAATTAAAATACACCTCTACTCCGATATAACACTGTCCTCGGGAATCAAAATATCTTACCGTGTTATAGGTGAAACCGTGTTATATCGAACTTGCTTTGATCCACCGGAGTGCGCACCCCTGGCCCACCAGAGCGCTGCTTTACCACATTATATCTGAATTCGTGTTATATTGGGTCGCGTTATATCGGGGTAGAGGTGTAATATTAAGAAATCTTGGACAATAGCCTCTCGAGAGCTCAGTTCCCAACTAGACAATTCAGTGAAGTGGCTAGATTTTCAAATTGTTCTTAGTGGGAATTGCTGGGTTCTAAGTACTTTTGAAAATCTGGCCACTTCATTTAGGTACCTGAGAACTTAAGCTCTTTTGAAAATCTGTCTCCTTGTGTTTATATATCACAGCTTCCCCAAAGAATCCCAAATGTTTCACAAACTATACAAAATGCGTATAACAGCTTTGAAATATACCCACATCTGTGGTGATGGGTAGCCACCAACCATTGCACAGCATAGTGTATTACAATACATACAGGAATGTTGTGGCCAAGGACTCTGGGTCAGAGCTCTACTTTTATGACAATTTTCAAGGGATTTTTAATTTCCATGCAGCATACTTAAAGCACAATGATAATTTTTCTGGCACTAAGCCTAGATTCTCCACTCTTGTTCTGTGCCTCCTTTTCAATTTTTCTCCAAAACCCACTTCTTCCCACAATCCCTTAAGAAGTTACTCTCATACTAGTGCAACCCTCAGAAAATCTCATTTAAAGAGAAGGAACTTATATGATGCATTTCAAATGACACAAGGAAAACAGCTGTTTTAGAGCAAAACTAAACCTTTAGGCTCAACATTCTGCAAAGGACAGCATGTAGCCAAAGGGACACCCTAAAGGTATGTCACAGTAACCATTTCTCCCATGATTCCCCCTAGCTGTGGGGTACCTAAGCTACTTCACTCTTTGGGGGCATAGCTTATTTCCCCATGTATATGCTTCTTCCACTATTTCCACTGGTCATTGTGTCTGGGTGGAGGGAGTGAATTTGTGGCTCTGGCTACTCCCCATCCACTCCTCACCCATTCTTAGCACCTTCTCATCCACTTTCTTACAGTGGAGAATACAGGTTGTGCAGTTCTTCTCTCACATCAGCAGCTGAGGGGGAGGAGAGGGCAAAAATAATGTGTCCTATGTGGCCATGTTAGGATTAGTGATAATCTAGATTTTATTTCTACTAGCCTCCAACCTCCCTCACCCTTGCCCAGTCTAACATGTCCTTGAGTCATGTTACATTTTCCACGTAGTACCTGTGTCTTACTTTTGCTCTACCTTTAATGGCATTTCTCATGTACTAATGTAATACTCAAACTTTTTTTAAACTGTTAGCTCTTTGAGGCAGTGAGTGTGTCTTTAATTTCTCTGTTCAGCACTATGCACATCTATGGTGCTTTTACAAATGTTTTATTATAATAATAATCATAGGTGCTGACTCCAGGGCTGGCGCACCCATGGTTAAAAAATAGTGGGTGCTTAGCACCTACCAGCAACCAGCTCCCCACCTCCCCACCAGCGCCTTCCACCTGCCAGCGGCCTCACCGATCAACTCCTCCCCATCCCTCCCAGCAGCTCCTGCCCACCGTGATCGGCTGTTCTGCGGCATGCTGGAGGCACTGGGGGGAGGGGAAGGAGTGGAGATAGGGCATGCTCAGGGGAGGGGGCAGAACAGGGGTGGGAAGAGGTGGGACGGGGTCTGGGGCAGAGTGGGGGTTGAGCACTCCTGGGTCAAGGAGGAAGGTGGCACCTGTGATAATTGTGAACCAACAGTTGTGAGGATAACCTCTAGCCCATGGGTTGATGAGGGATTTTGTCATGTACTCTGACTGCTATTTGCCTTCCATTCTTCTGAAGTACTGTTCTCTCATTTCCATGTAAGGTATTTTTGTAAATGACATTAAATGACCTAGTTTAGCCTAGATACTTTGGTAATGAGCACCTAAGGACAGTTAAATTGATTAGATTCTTTATCCAAAATTCAGATTCACTTAAGTGTTCAAACTTAACTGCCTCTAGATGTCATGGAGTTGTAGCAAGATTGACAAAACTATTCAGGTGATAAAAGAAGGCTCCATTCTCAGATAAGGGTTGCAGATATTTTACTCCTAACACAAGTCTCTGTTTAGAATGTTAATAAATTATCTCAACACAAACCTGACAGGTTCTTGGCTGAACACCAAATTGGAGCATTTGTTAAATTCTTAAACTGACATGAAAAGCATAGAAACCAAAACTCTATACACATCTGGGATTTCCCAGGTGGTTGATTCCATAATGATTTGTTAATTCATTAATAGTTGTCATGAAACATTACTTTCCTGCCCACCACCTACCAGACAAGCACCACCCCTAATAGATAGTTATCATAGCCAAAATTATTTTATATGCTTATGATACTTTGTTTAATTCTTCTAATGCTGGTAACTTTTGTGTTCAGCAAAGAAACATCCATGGATCTGCCCCTAAATAAACACAGGAATTCCATACTGGATCATACCAAGGTCCATCATATCTGGTATCCTCTCTCCAACATTGGCCTGTACAAAATGCTTCAGTGAAAGATGCAAGCAATCTGCATAGGCAAATAATTTGTTATTCCCCGCCCCCCCCTTGACTCATCCTGATCTCTAACAGAGATTGCTTTAAGCATTGAAGCATGAAGATTAATATCCCTTCCACAACATTTTTGTTACCATTAATTATGATAACTGTGGATATTCTTGAGCTCCATACGAATGTTCAATTCCTGTCTCCACTGCAACTTCATGTGGTATAGCAAATGATGTGAGGAGGTGGCAGGGGGGTTGCTGGATGTAGAGATAGCAGGTATCTTACGCTCTTTCCACTCCCCTCTTCCCTCATCCCCTACAAAAAGTCCAAATGTCCTTATAATGCAAGGTTCTGGGAAACAGATAGCTCAAGAGATTGGTAGCAGGCTACCACACTGGGTTCTTGTGGGTCAGCATTTCATCTGTCATCCGGGTCAGTGGTGATAGCAAATAGTACTGACTAACTGATGGTAGGTAGGGAACCTATGAGTAATGATCTGGCAGACTTAATTCAGTTCCTAAGGGACAGATTTCCACATCAGAACACCTGTATCACAGTTGCTGGAACGCATGTCCCCGTGTGCTTTTTGTCACCTATAAATGATAGTACCAGAAGCACTAGAATGCCATTCCGGTTCCCAGCAGATAACCCAAAGACTTACTGAGCATGAAGACTAAATTATCTTTTCATCCCAAAAGTGGTCCTTCTAGCATATGTTTTGGTTGAGCAGTCTGGAAGAGCATGACTGTTGATGCCCATTTTGTATTTTTCTGTGGACACAAAGGGGACTTCAGTGTTCAAGGCTAGCAGTCCAGCACCATTCATAGATTCATAGATTCTAGGACTGGAAGGGACCTCGAGAGGTCATCAAGTCCAGTCCCCTGCCCTCATGGCAGGACCAAATACTGTCTAGACCATCCCTGATAGACATTTATCTAACCTATTCTTAAATATCTCCAGAGATGGAGATTCCACAACATCCCTAGGCAATTTATTCCAGTGTTTAACCACCCTGACAGTTAGGAACTTTTTCCTAATGTCCAACCTAGACCTCCCTTGTTGCAGTTTAAGCCCATTGCTTCTTGCTCTATCCTTAGAGGCTAAGGTGAACAAGTTTTCTCCCTCCTCCTTATCCCTTTTAGATACCTGAAAACTGCTATCATGTCCCTCTCAGTCTTCTTTTCCAAACTAAACAAACTCAATTCTTTCAGCCTTCCTTTATAGGTCATGCTCTCAAGACCTTTAATCATTCTTGCTCTTCTCTGGACTCTCTCCAATTTCTCCACATCTTTCATGAAATGCGGTGCCCAGAACTGGACACAATACTCCAGTTGAGGCCTAACCAGCGCAGAGTAGAGCGGAAGAATGACTTCTCGTGTCTTGCTCACAACTCACCTGTTAATGCAGCCCAGAATCATGTTTGCTTTTTTTGCAACAGCATCACACTGCTGACTCATATTTAGCTTGTGGTTCAGTATAACCCCTAGATTCCTTTCTGCCGTACTCCTTCCTAGACAGTCTCTTCCCATTCTGTATGTGTGAAACTGATTGTTCCTTCCTAAGTGGAGCAC